TGGAACGAGTAAGAAGCCGATCATCTTATAAAACTATAGCACAACAGGACAGTGTCCCAAATTTTTAGGCAAAGTTTAGTCACGCCAAATATTAGTTTCATTTATTTTTCACAGTTTACAGCTCAGTATAGTACATTTTTCAGTCATTAGAGACTTTAAATTTCATTATTTTTGCAAGTATATTTGCCCTACGAAATTGCTTTGAATGTGCCTCAGATTTTTGCACAGTACTGTGTTTATAGTTGATTATCTCGCTTCAGTGGCACATGTCAAGGTCTGCAGACAGATCTTAGATGGTAAGCAAGCGGTTGGTTCTCTCATTCAGTGTGTTGGATGTGGGAGAAATGGGAACTGAACGTCTTTGACAAGGGCCAGAGGGTTTTGGCCTAAAGAGTGGGTTAGAGCAGTGTTTCCCGACCCAGTCCTCGGTGCACCTCAGTCAGTTCCAGGTATCTGTTGTGTGCCACCTTAAGCACTCCTGATGTGACCAATCATGGGGCTTGATCATTTGCCTCAGGTGTGCTTAAGGTGGAACATAAAAAATACCCGGATCTGACTGGTGTGCCCCGAGGACTGGCTCGGGGAAGCACTGGGTTAGAGCATCTCTGCAGTGACAGGACCTCTGGGGTGCTCACTGTCAGCAGACGTTAGGACCTCCTGACAGGGGTCCAAAGAGGGAGAAAACATGACCCGGCGGCAGGGTTTTGGGCATCCAAGGCTCATCGATGCACAAGGGATATGAAGGCTATCCCGTCTAGTCCAAACCGGCAGAGGGCGACTGAGGCAAAAGTGGCTGCAAATTTCAACAATATTTACATAAGGAATGTGTCACTACACACAGCGCATCATACCCTGCTGTTTATTGCACTTTTTAGCTTGCAGACCAGTCAAAGTGCCCACTCGAACCCTGGTCCACCTCAAGAGCAGTGCTGATAGGGACAGAGTCTTACTACTGAGGGAACCATTTTGGATTCATACATTACAGACTGAAAGCGCTAAAGGTCTAAATGACGTACGATTATTAGGATGTTTTTTTTATAACTTGTTCCCATACTATGGTTATGTAGATTCTTACATGGGAGCTCTCAGTCTGTGACACTCTGTTTCCCCTAGTTAACCCTAGATACACCTGCTTGTTGTACTTTCATGTATTGTCTTTCTATATTTTTCAAAGTTTATGTTTGAGCCTCAGACCTGGACCTTGGAGCAGTTGCAGAAGGTCGCCTGTTCCTGTGAGTCCCATTTCCTTTACGTCCTGTCCATGGACTGGGTGCGTGTGCAGCATTTACCTGGGGCTGGGTGCGTGTGCAGCATTTACCTGGGGCTGGGTGCGTGTGCAGCATTTACCTGGGGCTGGGTGCGTGTGCAGCATTTACCTGGGGCTGGGTGCGTGTGCAGCATTTACCTGGGGCTGGGTGTGTGTGCAGCATTTACCTGGGGCTGGGGCATTTACCTGGGGCTGGGTGCGTGTGCAGCATTTACCTGGGGCTGGGTGCGTGTGCAGCATTTACCTGGGGCTGGGTGCGTGTGCAGCATTTACCTGGGGCTGGGTGCGTGTGCAGCATTTACCTGGGGGGCTGCAGCATTTACCTGGGTGCGTGTGCAGCATTTACCTGGGGCTGGGTGCGTGTGCAGCATTTACCTGGGGCTGGGTGCAGCATTTACCTGGGGTGCAGCATTCACCTGGTGCAGCATTTACCTGGGGCTGGGTGCGTGTGCAGCATTTACCTGGGGCTGGGTGCGTGTGCAGCATTCACCTGGGGCTGGGTGCGTGTGCAGCATTTACCTGGGGCTGGGTGCGTGTGCAGCATTCACCTGGGGCTGGGTGCGTGTGCAGCATTCACCTGGGGAGAGATTGCATCAGGATACACTGTGGGAGGAAGACGAGCTGGTGGAGGGAGCTTGATATTCTGGGAAATATTCTGCTGGAAAACCTTGAGTTTGGGAATTTCAAGTGATGTCAGTTTGCTGGAGCTGTTTTGGCGGCAGAGGTGGACCTTCACCATATCAGGCAGGTGTTTCCATCTTCAGTATGATCTGTGTAAATATAAACTTCACTCGAGGCTCCAATAAATTATTACCCAATAGCTGCCGTATCAGTATTCATTACAGTAGTTTTTGTGGGTTAAAAATAAAGTCTAGTGAAAAATTCTTTGCTGTCCCATTTAATATTATTAATTCTTTTGTAAATAATTTTTAAAAATGTGTGTATTTTTGTATGTATTTAATTATCTGCTGAAAGGGAAAAAAAATTAAAGATTGTTCACTCAGCTAAGTGCTTTCTGCTTACTGGTTGCTTAGCCGTGACTAATTATTTGAAGGCAATTGTGTGAGTCATTTTGATGAGCAATAATACCGAGCACCCCCCAACCCACCTTCAAACTTTTTCTCACTATACTTATCAGGCTAATGTGTTTCCTGAATTAAATGAAGATAAAAAGAGAAAAATAGGCCTCAGATAATTTATAAAATTAAAGCACTCTCCCTCTGTACGCACTCA